ACCCTTCTGCGCTCTTGCACAATGGGGGGGGGGGGGGGGAAATTACGGAGGCAACGTACATTATGCGAGCCTTTTGAACTGGTCCTTTCTGTCTATTGTGTTTATTAAAATATCCCTACCAACGGTAATCCCTATTGAAGTACACTGCCCTTTGTAGGCATGCATTTAAATAATGTATTATTTGATGATTCGCTTCCACGCAGCACTAAGACGGTAGTTATCCAAATTGTTAAAGCTATTTTTATTTCTTTCAATTTCGATAGATTCTCTAATTAGTCTTGGCCAGTAGTAGCTAGTTTTGCACAGAACTTCAACATTATCAAAATCAATTGAGTGTCCTTGTTGGCAAGCGTGTTCTGCTACTGTTGACAATTGTATTTTGGAGAATTTAATATTTCTCTGATGTTCTTTTAGTCCCGTGCTGATCATTCATCCTGTTTTCCCAACATAACAATAAACAACTTGCAGTTACCCCTGTACACGCCTTCTGTTGATAGCTTCGGTAATACATATTTTGTATCAGATTATAAATTCTGTATTTTATGTACCATTCCAAATCTGACTCGGATGTTTTGTTTTTCCAAACATCTGGCGAGTTTATCAGTTACTCCTGCAATGTACGGTATTTTTATCGTTTTAATTACTTGGGCAGTTTCAATGCTCGTGTTATTTTATTTGGTTTTGGCATTCAATGCCCCCTTATGAATGCCATCTTATATTACCCAAAACCTGTAGGTTATGGCCGATCGATGCCCATTGTGTATCCCTTTAACCTGCACACTTTAGGCCTCAATATTATCGTTCTGACAGTTTCCCTTTCAGAACGTCCCTCCTATTTGTTTGTTCTGTTCATCACTCAGTCTTTAAGAAGAGAAAATGTGTTGTATAGAGATCGTACAGTGCAAACTTGAAGTATTAGTGGTAAATATTTGAATAGTTACTTTAAGCTACGGCTGTCAACTTCTCAAGCTTATCGAGCACCTGGCTGCTCTTCCATGTTCAAGTTCTGTTCTAAACCATAACGTCAATACTGTTCGACAAATGTTCGTAATAAAATACAATTACTTTGATGAGGATCCACACGTTCTTATAGGTGAACACCAAATTCTCTTTGAAACACACAATGTGCCAAGCAGGCCATTAAGAGAATTCCATTTCTCTGGGGATGGGCGCCCCCAAACATGTCAAGTGGTGTTGGCTAAATCCTGCTTAGCTTTTTCGGCATGTCGAGTATACCGGTATAAGAAAAGAACTTCCAAACAACTGGTCAAAAGTTAACTCAATTGGTTTCAACTATGAACTTTGATATAGCAATAACCCTGTTCCTGTGCACGAGCTCGCCCGCACCGACACTCCACTACTCTCAGCAGGACAACAACTCCCTCAAATCTGTAATGGTGCCCACATCACTGCAAGACAACAGCAGGGAGGGCAGTGCATGTTGACCCGGTGTTATTCACAAACTGACACAGGGACACGACATGCAGCAGAAACCCGACACGGCCCATATCACACCCACTCAGGCCTCTAATGCAGTGCATACCTCCCATGGCCTCACAGCAGCATGGCAAGGGGTTACGAAGAGCCACCTCACTCCAACCCCACCCAGACTCTCTTTCGTGTGGTGTAGAATGTGTAAAGTTAATTCTTACTGTCATACATTAGTAGGGCAATGTTGACAATATAAACTTAAATTGGGGGGGGGGGGGTAAGGGATTTTTTTAAAATCTAACCATAACACAATGAAGAAAGCAATAAAAGCCATACCAAAAACATAATACTGACAGCTGCTTTTCCAATGTAATGTATCATTCCTAGTAGTGATAGTTGGCAAACGACACCCTCGTCTAGACAGCAATAGTGCTTCGTGTGCAACTGGACAATAAAAAGTCTTGAAAATACCTCGCAGGATTCTTTTCCAGTAAATTGGACTGAATACCATCTTGAGGATGCTCATGTCCTTTTGAGCCTGCTCTTTATAAAGCTGGCTTGCACAAGCATGCAGAGGTAGTAGATGTACACATGTAGGAGGACGCAACGGCGCTGTGCTTGACGTCCCAACGACCGGCCTTAACTTCCTTGCCACACAGCATTAGCAGTTGGCATTGCTAAAGTGGACTTAGTCTCCCATGGATCAATGCTGCCCAAGATGAGTAACGATGCGATGTTTGTGAACACCGGCGCTGTGGAGATGATTGGGATCGTACGCGATGCTGGCAACCCCATTCTTGTCCTTGGTGAACACTTGCAAACGCTTGCCTCAATAGTCCATGAGGTCTATGGAATTTAAATGAACAAATGTTGTGGTGGTAAAACTCAACCGTTTTGTTAAAGGTATTAAGTAAAGATACGAAGGTATAATAACCAGTGCAAAGGTTCCCACATTAATTCACTATTATTGGCCATATAAGTCAGTAATGTTATACGATAACAAATTTAAAGTTTATGAACAAGCCCGAATAATATCAGTACAGTAGTCCTCTGTACACTCATAATTATATAATCAGTGATACTACAATATTTCTTTAGGTGGCCGTGTGATGTGAAAGTGATATTATGAAAGGCTTCCAGTATTAATAATACATCTGGAGGCTTTGATTTATGCTTGTACACCACTGCCAACTTTCCCTTAACTCTCAAGATAAAAAAAAAAGCAATGCAATAGTGTATGCCATTGCCAGTGCCTGCCATCACATTATCTCTGCCAGCAGTCAGAAGCTCATGGGAAGGTGGGGGGGAAACCTGATGGGATGGGACAGGAATTTAAACTTTTAGTTACAGGCATAGAAATTACATGTCATGTCACTCGGGAGTGTATGAGCTGAAACATAAACTCGACTAACCGTGTCCAATGAACCAAACTAATGACGTACAGTTCTTCTTCAATTATGTTCTGATGACATACATACATGTACATATACGTCATCTGAACGGAACTGCAGGAAGGTGTGGCACAGTCGCATCGACCACTGCCGTCTGTCAGTGGTCGTCATCGCGTTGCTAGATAGCCTGCCAGCTACCTTAGTTAGCGTGGTCGATCCTAGTCGGCTAGCGTTGTATCGAGTGTGTGTAGTCGAGATGGCGTGTGTTAAGAAAAGGTGCCTCCACAATTGTTGTCTCCTAAGTCCTGCCCGACACATGTACAGCCCTTGGCCAAACTACTACTGGAAGGAGCACCTCCCCACACCATGGGAGTTATACGACCGTTCTTCTCGCCAGCCCGTGCGTGTTGGCGACGCAGCTGGACTACCCTCTGCTGCCCATAAGGCAGCCTACCACTCCATTTTAGGTATTAAAGCAAAGGAAATCAAAAGGAGGCCCCAGTCCTGATTCACAAATGTATTTTCTTTTTTTTTATTAAAATGTGCAGAGATAGGAAATTAACCCAAGTCACTGGGTGTCAATGAATTCTAACCGACTATGATCCACCTTAACAGTTTTTGTAGCCAATATTAGGATTCCTAACAGATTTTATGTTAGGCCACACAACTTGCCAAATTTATGTTAAGACCCAGGACTACCCAACATTCAAAAAAGTTAAATTGTCAGGTGTACAAGCATTTAACTTACAAATTATTGTTTCAGCTCACAGCCAAGATGATGGACAATCTCACATACAAATTAAGTAATTTGTTTATCAATCAGTCCAGGAAGTCAAAATAACAGTCACCTGAGCTGCCTTCTAATACGTTTTATTATCTAACAGCAACAACCAATAAGATTTAAACTAGATGTTAACCATTAAAAAATAATTATTAAAATGTATTAACATGACATACATTAACATGCCTATATATATATATTCTATTTCTGACTATATTACACTAAAGGATTATTGATGGCATGTATCTCAGGATCACTTACACTACAGAATATCAATTACAGTGGAGGTAATACATATGGAATGACAGGGTGACACCTGCCAGCCTGAATGGGTAATTATGGTTATAGCTGCATTACATAATGCCTTATTATGAAGAGGCATATCTGGGGAAAAGGTTAAGGGTGGAATCAGTCGAGAAGCTCCGGGAACCATCCCGAAGGGTCGAGTAGGTTCTAGAAAGGGGGCGTGGCTAGATGTGGAGCTTGGCCACACCAGGCAGATATAAGGAGCACCGCACCAGAGCTTCGGGGCTGTTAGTGTGGGGTCTGGGTCCTGGTTGCGAAGCTGCCATCCTCATCTCTTCGTCTTCGACCACGTGGCTGTTATTCTGCAAGACCAGCTCTGTCGCCGCCGCTACGCTCGTCAACCAGCCAGCGTAGCGCAGGACGGAGATGGGCTGCGTGTGTGGACAGCCTAGGTGTAGCCGCTTTACGAAGTGCATCGCCCTGCGTGCTCTTAATAAATAAGAAGTCTTCTACTAGACGTGTGTCGGAAGTCGCTCACACATACATCAGATTCACAAGTCAATTGGCAGAGGTTTAAAAAATATATATTGCTCACCAACATAATGGAACATCACTAAGCAACCATTTAAAAACAAGTGAAATCGTACAGCTTTAACTGTTGCGTTACAGAACTTTAGCAATGCCAGTATCGAGGGCAACACAGCAGCATTATAATTATTTACGTGGCAATGGTGGCCTGATCACCACAAACAAAATATGCTTCGTCACTCTTGGGAATATTATCAGAAACGTGCGTTGCGACAACATTGTGTCATTGTGAGATCAGACAATGCATCGAGCAAGTTATATTGCTGTATTACACACACACTCCACTTGGCCTGCGGCTAAGATTAACTGTGGCCCATTGCTAATTTAATTTCATAAAATGTTTCCTATTAACAAAATTCAAAAACCTTCCTCTCACTATAAACAGTAATTATGTTACCCTGTATTGCTTTAAATACTTAGGGCAAGGAACAAATACAAATCCTACTTAGGGAGGCAGGATTTCTGGGGTGTCAAGCCAACCGAGCCCATGTTGAGGTCACATTGGAGGCACGATGCAGCTGCATTGGCGGAGCTGGCATCTGAACTGTTCACCAGGTACGAACCTTCGAGAGCTCCTCCTCCAGAACGTACTCGGACTCGGCCATGGTGAGAGTCGCTCGCTGCCGGCCGCACTCTGACGGTAGCAACACCTGCAGTAGAAGAGAAATCACACCGAACACTTCAGCACGGAGCCACAGTTCAGAGCAAAAAAATACATAAAAACCACGTCAATGTCACGAAAACCTTGGAATCTACCGTAACATGCAATTCAATGTACGTTTCAGACTAGTGCGTAGCAATTGCATGTACACAGTTCACACATGCTTCAACGCCATGTTGCTAAGTAAAAGGATGGATATAATAGAATCGTTGGGGTAAACTTTACATGTAGTGACTGCATACGTCTTCTACTAAAATATGAGTGTTTACAGTACTCTTATTACAATAAAGTATACACATTGTTGGGGAAAATGTGATGCACACTCATACAGAGTATATAGATACATTTCAAACCATTCCACAAATCCATAAACACACCTGAACAAATACTATACCCCCACACACACGGGCGTATATATCCACACCATAACACACACTTAAACCAAAAATATCATACATCACACCGCACAAAAGACAAAGAACCACAATACCGTACGTTACACACAAAATACAACATGCAACGGAAGCTGCAAAATGACCAAACAAAGAACAAATACGTACACACATCCTTCAACTGAATGTTGGGGCAAGTGCTGTGAGCACCTATGAAGGCTGGCACGGTACACGAGGGGGAGGGTGGCCAGCACCACGCCCGACAGCATAGGCCTCCCCCAGTGGTGATGTTTACACACCACACAAGGTATGGATTTGAGACCCGAAGGGTTCAAATATTTCGCCAGTGTTGCTGGTCGTGAGCAGGAATCAAACACGTGTCGCTGGGTTCGTAGCACAGCGCTCTGACCCCTACAGTACCGCTCCCAGTTGTGGACACATGTCCACACGGGCTAGTCTGAAAACATAAAATCACACCTACTGCCAAAAGAGATAATTCCACAAGTCGGCCATGCACGTGAGCCTAACCGAGGAACTGCCCCGGGGGGAGCCGGGGACAGGACAACGTTCCGCAACACAGGCCAATTGTATTTGCACAGGCCAATTGTATTTGCACATGCTTGGCTCAAAGCCAGAATTTTGTGGCACTCAACATCGTGCCATTGCCCTCTACTAACTCTGCCTGCACCCAACCCTCCCCCAGGAATGGGGGCATCGTCATACAGGAGTCGGCATTCCGCCCCACTAGAAAAGATTACACGAAAAAAGCAAACTATGCAGCCGAATAAACATTATACGGATCTCGATTTAAAGCTTTCGTGACTGCAGGGATTCATCTTCTTGTTTCTTTCGGTAAAGTCACGTAGAAGGGAAGTAATAAAATAATAAAAATAAAACATAATAAAACAATTCTCACGACGTTTCGGCTACAACGCAAGCAGCCGTCTTCAGGTGAAGAATGAGACACTACCAAACTAGGAGCTTATATATAAGCTGCATTGGGGGTTGAAGAGCGCCTTAACAAAAAGAATGTGCATGTGAAGAGGGATTTAGCATATTCATGGAAAATGCGTAGGCGTTGGGCGGGGGGGTGTCAAAGTCATATTATGCCCATGCATTATGCAGGATCAGCAGCAACCAAGGGGGGTGCAGGGATTAGCAGTAACAAAGGAAAGGAATGTTAATGATATGTAGCTGCAGTTACTCAACAACCACGTAGAAAACTAAAGTATAAACTACATAAAAAGTTTATACTTTAGTTTTTTATGTAGTTTATACTTTAGTTTTCTACGTGGTTGTTGAGTAACTGCAGCTACATATCATTAACATTCCTTTCCTTTGTTACTGCTAATCCCTGCACCCCCCTTGGTTGCTGCTGATCCTGCATAATGCATGGGCATAATATGACTTTGACACCCCCCCGCCCAACGCCTACGCATTTTCCATGAATATGCTAAATCCCTCTTCACATGCACATTCTTTTTGTTAAGGCGCTCTTCAACCCCCAATGCAGCTTATATATAAGCTCCTAGTTTGGTAGTGTCTCATTCTTCACCTGAAGACGGCTGCTTGCGTTGTAGCCGAAACGTCGTGAGAATTGTTTTATTATGTTTTATTTTTATTATTTTATTACTTCCCTTCTACGTGACTTTACCGAAAGAAACAAGAAGATTATACGGATCTTTGTATCTGTGATGCGCCGAGGGCCGGCACAAAAAAGTGGGACGCGTGACGTGTCCGTTAAAATGAGCTTGCACATAAGACTACCCCACAGTATAAAAACAGAGGGGGGAGTTGACAGCAACTTTACAAAGTTCTTTAAAAATTCCAAGTGCCAGGACTACCGCGAGCTGACCAAGCATCCAGTATTAACTTGAGGGAATTCTCAAAATTACAGGTTGAAAAACAGCATCTTAACTTGTTATTGTAAAACAGTATATAAACCTTCTTGCTTCTTTCGGTAAAGTCACGTAAAAGGGAAATAATAAAATAATTAAAATAAAACATAATAAAATACAATTCTCACGACGTTTCGGCCACAATGCAAGCAGCAGTCCTCAGGTGAAGAACAGGTATGTCGGAAAATAACAAAGAACCCACATTGCTATGGTGGGGAAAGTTATTCCATCGGACAACCACTCGACTATCCATCAAAATATTGTATTGATCCAGTAGCAATGAAGGGCTATGGCGATCTGAACTGGAAATAGAGATATCCTCCAATACTTACTGCAACGTTTCCTCCATTGCTATATAATCATAGTTTGCATTATATTTGCAAAAAAATCAACATCTTAAAACGATTTTGATTTAAAGCTATCGTGACTGCAGGAATTCATATTCTTGGTTCTTTCGGTAAAGTCACGTAGAAAGGAAATAATAAAATAATATAAATATAAAACAATAAAAATTCTCACGACGTTTCGACTGCAACACAAGCAATCATCATTAGGTGTGAAATCCACAGCAAGAAAATGTTCTTACTGTGGAGAAGATCATTTTCTTGCTGTGGATTTCACACCTGATGATGATTGCTTGTGTTGCAGTCGAAACGTCGTGAGAATTTTTATTGTTTTATCTTTATATTATTTTATTATTTCCCTTCTACGTGAATTCACCGAAAGAACCAAGAATATCTAAAAGAACGCTTCATACTCCACACGACCACAAGCCCACTTCTGTTGTATGTAGAACTTATTTCACACCATACGTAGACACCCGTACGAATCGGAGGCACAAACGAGCCTGCACTGGAAACCAACGTGGCACTGGCTCAACGGAGGGCCAAGGAGCGGCAAGATTGTGCTCGGTCCCCTTCATCAGCATGCAATTGTCTGAAAAAGACATTCAATAATCCCAACAACTGTAAATGCTGACAGAGCAGGGCAACAGGGCAGCCGATGTCTGGAAGTGGGTGTTCTTTTATTGTCATTCTACAATTGTCGGATATCACGCGAAGGGATGGGTTGCAAAATTAAGGCTCTCGATAGAGATACCGAATAGATCATTTCCCAATTGCTGTCATTGACACGTTAAATCACAAAGACAATTATGTTTGTCCTATGTAACAGATACACAGCTGATATGACTAGCCAAATATCCAATACAAAAAACTTCATGTCCAGAACCCAAAGTTAAATGAGTGTCATCTAATCCATCAGATACAGATTCCAATTGCAACCTTAAATAAATGGACACACATTTTACTTTGCAAATACTTTGTGAACAAAATACGCCATAACCATGAATATGACGCGTTTGCTTTCGTGTTCTCTTGAAGGTATTTAGAAGTACATTTTTATAAAAGGTGCACAGGAAAATTATAAGCGACCCAGTTTACTGTTGCTTATTCAAGTGAAAATGCTAACAATAAAAAATACAATTCAAAAGGAGTCCTGCACTATAAAAAATAATATTTGTTTATGGTACGATGCTTCAGTATGAAGGGCATTTTCTGAAACCAAGTTTTTTGACAAACTAATCAGCACTCATGGATGTAAATATTTCACAAGCTAATAAAACAGGAATCTGTAGCAGTTATTTAAACTAGGACAGGATTATTTTATTGAATAGGTTTTTTTTACTTCGGGATAGCTTCTCCAAAATAGAGCAAACAATTTACTTGTTAATGGCTTATACTAATGTGTATGACCACAGTCTGTAATAAACAAGTGACAGCCAAAAATAGCTTGATTCATGTTTACAAAACGCCACTGTCATCCGAACCACATCAGGGCATTCTATACCTCACGCTTATAAATGTACTACTTAAGTCAGCTGCGTGAATCGAAGAACTAATCCTGTGCAAACTGGCTCAGTTAAAAGGCAGGTTGCCAAACAAACTTCGTGAATGTTTATCGAGTCACAAAGACGTGAAAATATGCGTGCGACTCGTGACCACATTAATCACTCCCGTGATTTGCACAATGGAGACTTACACAGGCCAAATAGCAGTGCAGATGCACAAGGCCTTGTGGCGTGGCCTGAATGGACCGAAAGGTCATTTAAATTTCGGAGCAAGTGTGCACATGGATTTAATTCCAGTTGCCGCTACAGTACATTTCTGCTCCTTGAGCTATTTTTTATTAGTTGTAATCGAACCGATAAGCAATGCTGTGATTATAATTCAGGGTTTAAATGCACTGGGGAGAGGTGAGCATGCCATGTTAAGGCCTTCATCCCCTGGGACAATTCAATTTTTAAAATGAGAAAATCCATCAAGATAAAAATGAATTCAAGTTGGTAACAAATAGATTTATCATGAAAGGTGTGTACAGTACTAATGTATGGACAAAAGTTGACAACTTAAAAGGAGTCACGGTTAGGATGGATGCTACTTTTTCAGAATTGGTGGTCTAAACAGCTAAACAGCCACATTTCGTTCTTTGGAGCTGGTGGTCTAGAAAAGTGTTTGTGCATATGTAATATTGTAAATTACGGCGGGAGACCACTTGACGGGTAGTACACTTTATTAACACTGTCCTTAGCCACAATAACACGTGTGGTCACTACAGCTCACGCTACACGTTCCACCCGGCTACACACACACGGGCTCTCCAGCCCCGTAGCTTCCAGGGGAACTCACAGATCCACCCCAGCTGGGGTATGGATCACGACCACTGGGTCCCGCAGCCCGGCCCTCACAAGGACGTACGGCCGCGGGGACCTTGGGTCCCGCCTCTGAGCCACACAGGGTCCCGGCCCTTACAAGGACAGCGAGGCTAGGGGTCTCAGGGCCCTATCTCTTCCTCCTCAGTCTTCCGTCTTCACTGGTTACCAACTCCCCGAGCGCCCGCGCGCATCGCCTTTTATAGTCCTCCGCTCCCAAGAGACGGAGCCCATGCGGACCGCGATGTGAGCACCCACTCTAGTTGACCAATCACCACGCGCTGCCACACGATCCCTTTTTCCAGCGCGTGTCACCACTACGTAGCCAATCACCACGCGCTGCCACACGATCCCTACTGCCAGCGCGTATCACCACTACACATACACTGCACACCTGTGTTGTTAAATCTACCCCGTGGGGCGCAAACCATGGCAAACACTCATTCTTGCATTTGGGACTCTTTAATGGATAAGAAATGTCTTGTGGTTAACTAAATGCAAGAGCGATTTATTATATGTAAACCGTCCAATTTATCTACGGCGCAACATCGAGTTCATTACTCGTGGTTAAAATGCTAAATAAGTGAAAAAAATCTGTCTCATCCCTCCCACATGTAACAGCTGCTCTCACTTGCTATAAGAATCTGCATGGCCCCATGGAGCACATGGAACAAAAACAAATGCCCATGAAAATAAACATTTTATTCTTCCAAAAATTTGCATGGCCGCAACAAGTGCGGTAGGATTTCACTGGCCACAAGTACGATTTCACGTAGAGTAATGATTTGCAGAGTTGTCCTTAAACATGCGCTATATAGGTGAATGGGCTTTACTCGGTAAATACACGTATAATTCTGGAGAGCAACAAGAGACGTGTACTGTAGGTGCACAAAGGCAAACTTGTATAATGATGTGACCAGAATGCTTCTTGGTAAATGCCACGCAAATTACTGTTAACATGTAATCCGATTGCAAGATATTTAATTAACAAAACCTCTCACCGTCACACGATCATTAAAAACTAATCGTTTGACAATGGAGGAAAAATATAAACGTTAATGCCAAATGGCAACGACTCTACACCTCACTTCATGCACATACTATTACCCGCTGAGAATTAACCCAACTCCACTTCATATACGAGGAAAAATAACTACCGTAAGCAGCTTCCTAAATTATGGGACCTCCTTTGCCAGTGTCAAAATATAAGAATAGGTTTTCCCCTTTCTTTGGCAACAAAACAGGTGAAGATGTTAAAACACCAAACTTAAACCTTTTGCAAGGAATCATGTCTGTATTAACCACAGATACTTGTGGTCAAAATACAAACAAAAAACATGCTCTGACAGCATATGCATTTCGATTTAAAGCTTTCGTGACTGCAGGGATTCATCTTCTTGGTTCTTTCGGTAAAGTCACGTACAAGGGAAATAATAAAATAATAAAAATAAAACATAATAAAATACAATTCTCACGACGTTTCGGCCACAACGCAAGCAGCCGTCCTCAGGTGAAAAACAGGTCTGTTGGAAAGACAGCGTCTGAATGAACACCACCAAGCTTGGCAGCGTATATACAAGCTGGGTTAGAGGAGGAGATCGCCTTGACAAAGAAATTAACATATTAATTTAGCATATTTATGGAAAATGCAGATATGGGATTAGTCACTACTTGTGGAATGTGTAGGTGGCTACATCATGTTGCCAGAAAAGGGGAAAACCTATTCTTATATTTTGACACTGGCAAAGGAGGTCCCATGATGTAGCTGCTCAACCCGAGCTCTCATTACTCTGATAGTGGCATTGTCTTTGTGCTGTTCGCCTTTTTGCGTCCTCTGGTCTAAAACCGTTTGAGACTTGGCTCTAAAGACAGCTGTCTCTTGTGTGGACCAATCAGTTTCAAAGACAATGCATGTACTGTCAGAGCATGTTTTTTGTTTGTATTTTCACCACAGGTATGTGGTTAATGCAGACATGATTCCTTGCAAAAGGTTTCAGTTTGGTGTTTTAACATCTTAACACCTGTTTTGTTGCCAGAAAAAAGGGGAAAACCTATTCTTATCGCTTCCTAACACACACCTTCCACATAAAATATATAAATGCAATGTTTATACATCCTACCGCACGGACGAAATTATGATGATACAATCAGCAATGGTTCAACACAAGCAAACTTTGGACCGGTTTCGACAGTGTGCATCAGGAGCGGTCACGCTTGCTTGAGTAACGCTGGTGAACGGCCAGACCTTTACGAAAGTCAAGGATCCACTCCGTTATATTATCATGGGTTCTATCTGCATCATTCTACAGTGACAGCTGCATGGGCTCTCTGCATAAACGAGCAGCCAAGTGGCCTTTGAAGAAAACTATTTCGGTTCAATGGCCTTTACTCGGGAAACACTTCTGAACGCCTGCATGCGATGCGATAATCAACACGAACGAGCTGGTCAGTGCAGTTGCGTGCGTACTCACGTCGAATGAATAAAGTTGCCACAACTTTTGCTTGAATAAAAAAAGCTCAATGCGCCGGGCCTACCTGTAACGCACACAGACAGATGTTGTGCCACCACCAGCTGGAGCCACGGACGAGTTTCGCGGTGTAAGTCGAGACAACGTTCAGCTTGGTCAAGTTCAGCTAGAAGGTAACACACGCCGGTGCAAGGCGCAGGGTGCGAGCTTGCCGAGACTGAATGTTGCAGAATTGGACTTTCCCTGCATAGGATCTAGGCCCTCCTAAAAGAAGCCATGTGGTGGCTCTCGATGCTGTTGGTGCTAGGCCCCGGTTGCCTCGTTCAGGGCTGTTTACTGCCCTCCGCTCTTCCGTGTTCCTCCCCCCCAACCCACCCCAACCTTATACCCTCATGCAGTTCTTCGTTCTTAAGAAGCGATTTAAATTTAGATGCTATACGATCCATTGTTGTCGAATGTAAAATTAAAGTTGTCAGCGTAAGACTTTGCAAAGTGCGAGGTCTGTGGGGGGGGGGGGGGGGGGGGAAGGTGCCACGTGGTGGCTGCCCGTACGCTTTGCGATTTCAGTGTCTGGGTGCAGCGCGCATCGTCGGTGTGCAATGTGTGACCTGTGCAAGCGAGGCAGGAGGTGGTGGGTGGAGAGGTGGAGGAGGTGGAGGGTCTCGAACTTTGATCGCCGGTCAAGAGTCCCGTGGCACGTCCACTCCCTGGTGAAGACACCGCCGTGCTGACCGCTCGTCCTCCTCTCTGGTCGGCGATGACCCCTTGGGGAGTGGGGGGGGGAGGAGGTGCGGCCAGGGAGTTGTGGACACGAAGCGAAAGAGGCGCTCGGCTGAGTACCCGGAACCACGTGCTCTCCCCCCCTCCCCCTGCGCCGCTTTAAATACCCCGCCTAGACGCCTGCCGATTGGCTGAGCCGCGTGGGTGGGGCCATCGTGCGCGTCCCTCCAATGGGAAGGGGGAAGCGGAGTTATTTATTTATTTATTTAAAAACCTATATTATGTTATGAAAGAGATTGGTGCCACCCACTAACTTCAACGTGTTTGGCAGAAGGCAACGGGGAAATGAAAAATGTCATGTGCAGTGGACGCCTGTGGGCTATTTAACCACATGGATCGTGATGATCGCTGGGGGAGTCGGGACGACCATCTGCCGAAAGGAACCAGGACCCCCCCCCCCGTATCGGACGGAAGGCAAAGTAAAGGCCCCTTGTCTTTAACTTCTGTTTTTCAATTTTTTCATTTATTTGGTATAGCCCTGTGAGCCATTCGGCTCTTGAATCGGGTGCAACCGCAACAAACAAAAAACAAAAACATGAACAAGAAAACATCTTAAAGTGACTATGTGACTATGCGCAAACAGAAAAATCCAGGAAAAAAACTGCAAAGTCTTCCAGAAAAAACCCACCGTACACCAACGCTGTGCAAAAATCCCAGTGGGATGCAAGTCAAACAACAACAACAACAACCACAAGACAACTTGGATTAAAGTCATCATTCTAACTCCGTACTACAACAAACAAACATGGCCAAACCAAAAAAGTTTTCGAAATCACAAAAATAAAGCCATAAGCAATGTAACAGTGATCAGAGGACTGTGACCGAAATTTCACAATAAACAACATGTACCACCAAACCCTGTAGCCATAGCTGGCTGCATGAGTCACTCCACAACAGCAGGAGCATAAGTAGGAGTATCAACATTTTTGAAATGCACCTTTAAAGATCAGCACACGATGCAGCTTACCATCGTTTGGCAGCTCACCATCGTGTTAAGTAACAAATTACTTTGCTGATGAGACAGTCAACGTCTAAACCCTGTCCAGTTGGCTTGTAATTTAAAATTTGCAAATGAAATTACGCGCGCCTAGAAGGCCGTGGGGTCTATGGGGTTATGTCAAAAGGGGCCGTCCATAAATGACGTCACGCGATTGTTGACGATTTTTGACCCCCCCCCCCCCCTCGTCACACGGCGTCACAAAAGTCAGACCCCCCCCCCTAAAATATGACGTCACAAAGCTCTGCCCCCCCCCCCAAATAAAACATGCTTCAAATCGCTTTAAACTATGGTCATTGTAGTGCGTATTTATTTAATGTGGCGTTGCACTGTGATGTTGTAGGAGAAAACATTCATTAAAAAGTATATTTCATTAAGTAGAACGTGTTGTCTATATATATATTAAAGTTGCCCATTTTGATGTGACGTCACATTTCTCAAACCCCCCCCCCCTCGTCACACATCGTCACAAATGTCTGACCCCCCCCCCCCCAAGCGCGTGACGTCATTTATGGACATCCCCAAACTTGTTGTGTGTGTGGCGAGGCAGATAGTCGTATGAGGGACACTATTGCGTCTGCTTATTTGCAGTATTTTGTTACGAAATGAAGCGGCCAGCGTGCTCAGCCCGGGAGAGCGGCACCACCGGTGTGCAGGTGTGGCCACGTGCGATAGGGAACAGACCTTGATGCAGCTGATCTGGCTGTGACTGTCCCACCTGATGACGGAGACTTGTGTTGCCTCCGAAACGTCGTGATCTTTATTTTATTTTATTATTTTTTATTAATTTTGATGTTTTACCTACGTGACTTTACCGAAAACACCTAAGAATAGAATAACATACCTCAAGTCAATGGTTTGGTTATAGTGTACTGCGACTACTATTGATACTCCTGCTATTATGGATGGATTGACTCATGCAGCTAGCTAAGGATGCTAGGTTTAGTAATATATGTTATGTATGTCGCTATTGCTAACTTTCAATCACATTTCTAATGATCACTGTTACGTGGTTTTTATAGCATTATTTTAGTGATTTTTAAAAAGGTTTAGTTTAGCCATATTTGTATGTTACAGTTTAGAGTTACTGTAAACTTAGAATTTTAATCTAGATTGTATTGTGATTGTTATTGTGATCTAACATCAAACTGGGATTTTTGCACATTTTTTGTACGCAGCATAAACATATGGTGCTTTTTCTGGAAGATGTAATTGTTTTTATAGGGGATGTTTAAATTTGCGTGCAGTAAATTTTAAATGTATCTTGTAATTTTATTGTTTGTTGCGGTTGCACCCGAATCAAGAGCCGAATGGCTCACAGTGTAAAACCAAATAAATGAAACTGAAACTGAATGGTGGAGATCCCACCGTTCCCCACGTGTGTGGCGAGTTTATTTATAACAGCAGCATCTGAATGAATTCAGACTCGTATTACTGCGTGCTGCAAAACGTCGGAGACAAACGTGCGTGAGATACCCACATTGCTGGGTTGTTGGGGATGGTAGAGCAGGTTAGGTTACTGCTGTACAGGACATACTCAAAAGGCGTCCAAATATCACAATTTGAACGCCCAATGTAGAATTATCTCATTAATTTTGGTTTTATTTGTAAATATGAAATCATAGCTCATTTCACTTTTAGACGTGTCCGATATGTATATTCTCATACGATAACTGGCATAGTGAATATATACACCAAGCGAACACGACTGCGCATTAAACTAAAACGTTTTAATTTTCTACTCAACTATTTTTATTTTATCAGGTAAAGCCCACAGAGCTATATAGCTCTTTTTCAGAAGCGACCTGGCCACAAATGATAGCCCAATTAAGTGGCAATTTATAGCAGCCAAATACTGTAATTGGTATCGCCAGTGGCCTTTCAGAGTTCAGGTAACCAATTTTTACTGTGTGAATGCACTCCCAGTCATGCCTACAAATCGCTAACCTGATATGTATTTCCTTTATGATTGTTCACCAGTGCAGGGCACAGTGAGCTTGAACATTGTGATGATGTTTTAATTACTGGATTTGGAAAACAGATTATTGGAGAAACAACAACGGAGTTTCCATCCAAATGTCTTACCGAGAAAAACAAACCTGACTGGATTTGTGGGTAAAAAATGTTCATGTATTTCCGACAATTCCAATGACTTGCCTCAGAACACCCCAATGGTGTGAAATATCACAAGCACGGATCAACAATCTGTTCTAGATTTGAAGCTTTCGTGACTGCAAGGATTCATACTCTTAGGTTTTTTTCGGTAAAGTCACGTAGGTAAAAATAAATAAATAAAATGATAGAAATAATAGTAATAGAAATAACATTATAAATCAATATTTTACTTATATTCTTATTTCTATTAATAATAATAAATCATTATTTAATTTCTATTATTATTATTTCTATTATTTTTATTATTTATTTTTACCTACGTGACTTTACCGAAAAAACCTAAGAGTATCAACAATTTGGTCTGGGCAACCATGCCAAGCTCTTAAAAGAAAAATGGCTCAGGAAAAGGATAAATAAATAAAATACCTGGCATTTTTTTATTAAAAAGTATAAAAAAAGCGTGACTTTTATGTAACAAATATATTGTTTAAACCTACAGAAGCAAATTAAAACACTTGTCAACAGTGAATTATGGTTTAGAACCGGCCAAATAAAAAGGGGCGGAGCCTAGGGAGTAAGGGGCGGGGCATATATGTGAAGGAGGCGTGGTCTAAAGAGGAAGGGGTGGGCCTACAGAGGTTCAACTTCCCTGTTTAGGCAGTTTTCTAATACGTGCAGCATCGCTTTCGTGCCACTGATGCGGCCACTGACAAACTAGTTCATCATGCAAACTGTTCTCTCCAACATTGTCAGCAGAGGGCAGTACACTGTTGTTGCACTGAGCCATGCTGCGATGTCCATGCCAACTGCCTTCACCAACCCGCACTGACCAGTGCAGTAAAGTATCAGAATCTTTATTTAGACTGGAGGAATCCGATGAGCTATGAAGCTCTTTTTAACAGACGTCTATATTCTTTGTTTTTTTCGGTAAAGTCACGTAGATATAAAAATTATAAAAATTTAAGTGAATAAAAATGAATAAAAAAACAAAAAAACACTAATGTAGACTGTAGCCTGGTTATTAAGTTTGATGAGTGTACTGGCAGTCTATAATGTAGACTGTAGCCTGGTTATTAAGCTGGGTGAGTGTACTGGCAGTCTAAAATGTCGATTGTAGCCTGGTTTTTAAGCTGGTGAGTGTATTGGCAGTCTATGATGTAGACCAGGGGTCCTCAAACTTTTTAAACAGGGGGCCAGTTCACTGTCCCTCAGACCGTTGGAGGGCCGGACTATAGTTAAAAAAAAACTATGAACAAATTCCTATGCACACTGCATATATCTTATTTTGAAGTGAAGAAACAAAACGGGAACAAATACAATATTTAAAATGAAGAACAAGTAAAGTTAAATCAACAAACTTGCCAGTATTTCAATGGGAACTATGGGCCTGCTTTTGGCTAATGAGATGGTCAATGTCCGGTTCCATATTTGTCACTGCAAGTCGTAACAAGTGATGCAAGTGTGTATCCGTTAGTCTAGATCTGGTTGGAGATTTCAAATGTTTCATTCTGGTACAAGTCTGTTCACAGACATAAGTGCTGCCAAAGATGGTTGCCATTTTGAGTGCATGGTTCCTGAGATGAGGATATGTCTCAGAGGGGAGAGATGCATAGAAATTATGAAGGCTGCTTGACTTGAATGCGTCTTTCAGAGAGTCACAATTCTGCAGTTCAGCCAGTTCCATTTGGTAAATTGTATTCACATTTTCAATGTCAATAGAAAATGGGTTACGGAAAAGCTGTATGTCCTGTTCATGGAGATGAAGCTCTTTAAATCGAAATTGGAACTCCTTTTGCAATTTTTCCAATGAATCCACACATGTTTTGTTTGGGAATGCAACCAATGGTTTTTCTGCTAACAGATTTTGAGTTGTGGGGAGATGGCAGAAGTTTTCCTCCTTCACTTGTTTGATGAGGAGGCCTTATTTTACTTCAAATGCTTTGAC